CTTTTGTTCTCTCTCTCCTTTTGGGTGCTGTGGTTTGCAAAAGAGGCATTGAGTGGCAATCATGTTTGGTCTATAGTCTACTTTCAGCACGCTTCTCCCATCCTGGGAGGATCCTCCCAACATCCTTTTTTTGGTGCTCCCTTCTCTACCTGAGCTGCCTTTCCCCCTAGAATGTGTGGCTGGCCTCCAAGCCATGGAGCAAAACTCCTGGTACTAATGACACCAAATCTTGGGTGTTAGTCTCCTATTTTCTTACTTTATGTTCCCCAGATGAATGCAATCTTTCTATGTCTGTCCCTCTCTTTCTGACTCATATCTCTTAACATGATACTTTCCATGTAGTACCACTTGTATGTAAATTTTATGACTTCATCTTTTCTAACAGCTACATAGTACTCCATTGTGTAAATATACCAAAGTTTCTTTAAGCAGTTATCTATTCTTGGACACTCAGGTTTTTCCAGATTCTGGCTATTGTAAAAGTGCTGCAATGAACAAACAAGTGCAGATGTCACTTCGACTATACTTTTTTGCCTCTCTGGGATATATTCTCAGGAGTGGTATTGCTGGGTCATATGGGCGCTCAATTTCTAATTTTTTTCAGAATCGTCCATACTGTTTTTCAAAAGGGCTGAACCAGTCGGCATCCCCACCAGCAGTGAAGGAGGGTCCCTTTCTCGCCACATCCGCACCAGCACTCGTTGCTTTTGTTCTTTTGGATGTGGACCAGTCTCTATGGTCTGAAATGATATCTCACTGTGGTTTTGATTTGCATCTCCCTGCTGATTAATTATGTGGATCATTTTCTCATGTGGCTTTTAGCCATTCAGATTTCTTTTTTGAGAAAGTTTCGGTTTATTTCATCGCCCCATAATAATGATTTATAATTTTCAAGAGATAAGTCTTTACTTCATTATTTAAGCTTATTCAAAGAATTGAATGTTATTAAAATGGTAAATGAGGTTCACTCTTCAATCCCACATACTACTCTTTGAACACATATCTCACTTGTTTTTTTCTTTTTTTTTTTTTTACAAAATATAAACTTCTAGTTTCTTAAAGATACATATCTGCAGAATTATTAACAATTACATTTTAAGACCTTCTTTTCCAAAATAAACACCATTTACTTATTTTGCTTACTAACTTATTATAGCTAGGATTATGTTGAATAATCGTGATCGGAATGGAACTCTTTTTAGAGAAAAGCATTCCATTTTTCTATAATTTAACATTAGCTTCATTTCATTGTGTATTGTATTTTTTAAATTGGGTTATGTTGGGGCTGGAGGAATAGCACAGCGGTTAGGGTGTTTGCCTTGCATGTGGCAAACCTGGGTTCAATTCCCGGCATCTCAAATGGTCCCCTGAGCACCGCCAGGAGTGATTCCTGAGTGCAAAGCCAGGAGTAGTCCCTGCGCATCGCCAGGTGTGACCAGAAAGCAATAAATAAATAAATAAATAAATAAATGTGAACACTCTAACACCTTTAAAAAATTGGTTTATATTTCTTTAATCCTCAATTTGTTATAGTAAATGAATGTCTATTCTTCTTATAATTTTTCTGCATCTATTTTTAATCTCACTAAATTTATCTTTCCTTTTATTAATGTAGTCTGTCATATAAATTATTTGAAATATTTTGAATTAACCTTGCATCCTAAGAATAAATTCTACTCAGCCATGATGTGATCTATTTTAAATGTTTCAGGCAAAATTTTTGTAAATTTCACTAGAATTTTGTTCAAGATTTTTTTGTTTTGATTGAGCCACACCCAGCACTTAGGCTTCACTCCTGGCTGTGCTTGGAAGACCATATGTGGTTCCAGGAATCAAACCAAAGTAGGCTGCATGCAAGGCAAGTGCCCTACCTGCTGTACTAAGGCTCCGGCCTAGTTTTAGATCTTCACAGTAAATTTTACGTAGTATAAATGTCTATAACTTTTGTCCTTTATCTACATTATTTTCATGTTGGCTTTTATTAATTTTAGAATTTGGTTTGCAATATCATGCATGATGGTACTTCTTATATGTAAGTCAATTAATTTGAGGAATTGATCCCTTAATTATTGTTACTGTTTTTAGCATATCGAATATGCTATTGGGAGCTTGCCAGGCTCTGCTGTAACGGGTCTCATTGCCCTGACCCTGAAAGAGCCTCCAATATGGCACCATTGGGAAGAACAAGTAAGGAGAGGTTGCTAAAATCTCAAGGCGGGAACACACCTGGCAGTCTTTAGGGCTTACTACTGACTCTGTCTTCAGGAATAACACCGTGTGGGGCTCAGGGAGTGATGGGAATAGAATCAGGGTTTGCCGTGTGCAATCTGCTCTTCTGTACTATTGCTTTAGACCCAGGGGTATGGCCCTTTTTAACTTTAAGTATTCATTCATGCTGTATGCTATCGTTCAAATGTGAAGCAGGAGAAGCTGCTATTTTAAGATAAGGTATAAACAAATCCTATTCAGGTCCACTTTCCTGGGTTTTTACGTTGGCATAGGTTAAACTCAGCTCATAAGTTTTTTCACAGAATATTTCTTTTTCTAATGTGATCAAAGATGGTATCTTCTAGCAAGTTCTATGTGACCACTGACTTAAAGTGGTTCACTAATTCTGACCTTGTATGTCTCATACCCTTTTGTTCCTATTTCAGTTTTGTAGGACTAAAATTATAGGTTTGGGGTGCCAGATTTTCAACTTATCCCCCGTTTTACAAGGCAAGTTCATCACATCTTTGAATCTTAAATATCTCTCCACAACTGCTTTCACTACTTCAACTCAATTCTGTTTCTCAAGGTGGTATTTCACACCATAAATTTGGGTTCAGGACTATATAACTTGTTGCTCTTCAATGGGGTTTCCTCTCTTAGGATATCTGGGATCTCCTGTGAAATAAGATAAAATATGATAAAATAATATAAGGAAGTAAATGAAATATTTATGTAAATAAAATATTTTTATTTGAATTTTACAGTTAGAACAATGTAAAAATAGAGAACATTTTTAGAATTATGGATTTTATTTTTCTACCATGATCACGATCACGACCATCCTGTTGTTCGTTGATTGCCTCGAGCAGGCCCCAGTAATGTCTCCTTCGTCCTAGCCCTGAGATTTTTTAAAAAGTGCCATATTCAAGGCTCTTTCAGGGTTAGGGGAACGAGACCCATCATTGTTACTGGTATTTGGCATATTGGGTGCGCCACAGGGAGTTTCCAGACTCTGCCGTGTGGGCAGGTTACATTTGATAGCCTGCCAGTTTGTCCAAAGAAGGAATGAGATAATAAGATTTCATGCGGCCATGTGCTTCTGGGAGCTGGGTTTTATAGTCTCTGAGTATTGGCCATTGATGGGATTACACGGCGCCAGGGTCCAGTTGGTGCGTGTGACCCCTGCCTACTGGAGGATGGAGTATCTGGGTGGAGGATGCTCAGCCTCGATCTGAGCAGGCTTGGAGATGTCAGCCCCGGGACCTGCATGCCTTTGCTCCTCTGCCGGTACCTTCATGCGTGTGGAGAGTGGTCTCAGCATGGTGGTGGCTGGTTCTGGAGGTCTTCGGCTGCCAGAGCCCTGGTCGGGGCGGGGAATGAAACTCAACCCGCTCCCCTCCAAGGGGCCCCGGCTAGGACAGGCAGGCGCCAGGGCAGGATTATATTTTTATTTGTACATTTAAAATGCTTTAAATTTTAGGAAATGGTTTCATGAGAATATTTTCATTAATAATTATTTACTGAATTATCTTTAATTTTGTTTCTATTGAAACAATGGAGATGGGCTGAAGTGATACTACAACTGCTAGGGTGTTTGCCTTGCAAGCAGCCAAACCTGTTTCGATCTCCAGCAAGCATTTTGCCCCATCAAGGCCACCAGGGATGATCTTTGAGCAAAAGGCCAGGAGTAAGCTCTAAGCACCACTGGGTGTGGCCACAACATGGAAAACAAACAAAAATCCAATTTGAAGATAATAAGCAAATTTCAATATAAAATGAAAATTTGTTTGCGTCCTTTAGAGATATATAGGGGGTTGATAGAGGAAAAAGTTAACATAAGATTGCTGTATGGAGACATTACTGGCACCCGCTCGAATAAATAGATGAATAACGGGGATTAAGTGATTAAGTGATTAAGTGAAGATTGCTGTAACTCACAGTGAATGTAATATTAAAATGAATGTACTGAAGGGAAAGTGCACGGAATAAGTTTGTTTTTCATGCTGTTTTTCATGCTTGTTTTTCATGCTGTTGCTCTGGGTTTGATCCCTGTCATCTGCCAGAAGTGGCCCTCGGGTATCATCTAACCAGGACTAAGTCCTGAACAACTGCAGGTGTAGTTCAAAAAAAAAACAAAAAATAGGTTAAAAAATAGCTTGTGTTGACTGGGAGAGATGGCAATAAGAGCTGATCACAGATTTTGCATACAGGATATCCAGATTTCATTTCTGGCGTCACATGTTCCCTCAGCATTGCTGGAAATGACTGCCAGCACTTAGCAAGAAACAGTCCCTGAGCATCATAGAGTGTGCCCCCCCAAACATAATTAAAATTAAGGCAGTGCTTTCTAAACTCTAAAAATGGAGTTTTATTATCTTTTACTTAAAACATTAGCTAGAGTATAAATCGTATCATACATCTCCATCTCACTAATCTCACTAATAAAATTTTTAAAATGTAAAAGTCCTCAAGTAGCATACTAAATGAGAGATGGCCTAGTTAAAATAAATTTAAAATATTATGTGTTATTTCCTCATAGAGAATTTGAGAGTTGACTTAAAAAATTGCATGTCATTTTAGATAAGAAAGACATTTTTATATGCTTTGGGTGACATCTGGTGGCAATAAAGAATTATTTCATGTGCATATTCTAATATTTAATATATCACAGAAATATTTATGAGGTGTTTCAGTTTATTATATTAAATAAATATATATTTACTTAATGCTATTATTTTTATTTTTACCATGACGAATTCCTCTTTCAATTGTCTTACTAACCTCTTAAGGTATGATCCAAAGACCAATTCTTGGTCAACCGTGGCGCCACTGAATGTTCCCCGTGATGCCGTTGCTGTTTGTTCACTTGGAGATAAGCTCTACGTTGTTGGAGGATATGATGGACATACATATTTGAAGACAGTTGAGTCATATGATGCACAGAAAGATGAATGGAAAGAGGTATTCTCTTTAAAATTCTAATTTGTATCTTTCAGATTTTCAAATGGTTGGTGTTAAAGTTTTATTGCAGTTTATCAATTTCAGAAAACATAGAAGCTTCAGTCTTGTGTGAAATTCTTAAATTTTTAAAAAATTATTAAAGCATCGTGATATTATTTATAGCTAAGTTTCAAACATACAATATTCCTGTACCAATTCCACCATCAGTTTCAACTCCCTCACACCCCACTAGTGTTCCCATGTACCCTCCTACTCCACACCCTGCCACCTTGGAAGGCATTTTTTCAGTTTCTGTTTTTGGGTCACACTGGATGATGCTCAAGACTTACTCCTAACTTTACACTCAGGACTCACTCCTGGTGTTTTTTGGAGAACCAGGGCAGGTGGGTTCAAGTGACACAACATAAGTATGAGCAAGGCAAGCCCTTGCCAGCTGTACTAGCTCACTGGCCCCAACAGATATATTTAAAAAATTTTTTTAAATTTTAATCTTATGCTTTTGATGTTGTGGCTTTGTGGTTTGAGTATGTACATATACCATACTTGTAAAACACCAATATACTTGAGTCCCTGAAGTTCTATCTCTGTTACTTTTTATCTCCCTCTTCTAAATTTCTCCCTAGACTTTTTCCTTTCTTGTTCTCCTTCAATAGTTTGTGGGTCAATGGTGACCTAAGTATCCCTTTTAATACCTTTCATTCCCTAGTTCTTTTATTCTACATTTTATCCTACATACCTCCGATAAGTGAGATCATCCTGTTTTCATATGGGGGGGGGGGCTGTGAATGCACTCCCAGCAGTGCTCATGGCTTACTACTATTACTCCTGACTCTGTGCACAGGAACCATTTTTGGTGGGGCTCAGGGGACTACATGGAATATGAAGGATTGTATCCTGGTTTGCTGCATCTATGGAAAGAACCCTACCTAACCATTGTATTATCATTCCAACCCACATTCTTTTTCTGACTTACTTCACTTAACACAGTATCTTCAATTTCCATCCAAGTGGAAGCAAATTGCATGATTTCATTGTTCTTACAGTTGCATACTCTTTGGTTTTATATATACCACTTCTTCATAAGTAACTCATCTCTTAATTGGATACCTAGGCTGATTCCATTGCCAAGCTATTGTGCTAAGTGCGCAATAAGTAATGGCGTGCGGATATCCTTTTGAATGAATGGGGTTTTGTCTCAGAAGTAAATTTTACCCAGAAGATTGCTGGATCATATAACACCTAAATACTTACCTGAGAATCACGATATCATTTTTCATAGGGGTTGATCCAGATAACAATTCTACCAGAAAATGACAGTTATTTTTCACTTCAGACTAATTAACACAGATTTTCCCAGAGTTTTCGATATATACCATCTCACTATTTTGAGATGATATCTCATTGTCACCTTGATTCAGATTCCCAAATAAAAAGTAGTAGTGAATATTTTATGTGTCAATTGGGTATCCTTCTGTCTTCTTCAGAGAAGTGTCTGTTAATTTCTTCTCCCTGTATTTGATAGGGTTTATAGAATTATTGTTGTTTAGCTTTGTGTGTACTTTATATGTCTTAGATATCAATCCTTTATCTGATTAATTGAGTACAAATATTTTCTCCTATGCAGTTAGGTTTCTTTTTAGCCTGTGTTTTTTCCATGCAGAGCTCTTTAATTTGATGTTGCCCTATTCGCTTATTTTTATTCTGTTGTGTCTAATGCAAATCAGATTGGCACCTTGGCACCTTTGACCATCATCTAGCATGGGGTCAGTCACAGAGAATGAGTCAAATAAATGCATAAGAAGCTGAACACACAGGACTGTCTGTAAAAGCTTTACCATACATCAGTGATCTCACAGGCAGGTCATTTAGTCAATAATAAATTACTGCCTCACCTGAGCTCCCAAAACAAGAGCCATTATTTACATTGACAGAGACATTAAGGACAATGAGTAAGCACATCAACATTCAGTACGTACATTAAGAGCAAAGGCTGAGGTACTCCACATAGCCAATCAGCAGACCTACTTATACTATAAAATTCTAACAATTTTCTATTATATTTTTGTTCATGTTTTCCTCTACATCTTAAAAATCCTAAACTATTTTTGTATGCATTGGTGGTCACAGGATTGCAGCCATCAGGTATTTGTCATCTATTCTATTCTGTCCTGCTATTATATTCTTATTAGGGTGCACAATGAAAACTCTTTGTATTCTAAGACCTATACTTTATTTACCCAAAGGGATATTCCAATCTTGGGGTTCTATTTTTGTCAGAGGAGAAAGTTCCCACACTGTTGTCTTTGCCAGTGGCACCACGTCACAGAATACATCTTTTTGATTTTTGACACTGTATATCATACATAAATAAATTTACAAATATAGAAAAAATAGAAAGCACCTTGTAAGACAATGCCTTTAAAGTGGAAGTTTACAGCCACATTCGCGGCCACACGGCATCTCATATAGTATACAAGGGCTTAATGGCTCCACGGTGATACAACAAACTTCACACACTTTTTTCTAAGGAAACTTTTTTGAATCCTCTTTAGTGGATTATTCATAACAAGAAATACAAACTAATTATTATGTTTTACTTTGGGGACAGGCTTGGGGTAATTGGGGTGGAATAATTTGAAATATGGTGGTAAGAAGATGTATTGGTGGTGGGATTGGTGCTGGAATATTGAATGTAATCAATTATTGTGAACAAAATTATAAAAATAAAATTTAATTTATAAAAATAAAATTGAATTTAAAAAATAAAGCAGAAGTTCATCAAAAAAGTTCAGAAAAACCTTCAAAACTTGGAAGCTCAATAAAAATGAGATCAAAGAGTCAATCAAGGAAGAAATAAAAATATTCCTCAAAAATGATGGAATAAAAAAACAAGCAAACAGAATCTATGAAATACAGGGAACACCATACTAAGGGAAAAATCCAAAGCAATGGAGGTATACTTTAAGGATGAAAACATCCAGATTATCTACTTAAGCACATATCTCAAAAATCTTGAGAAAGAACAACAAATTAACTTTAAAAACGTCAAAGAAAATTGTGAAAACTACAGCAGAAATCAGTGACATATAAATCATAAAAGCAATGAAAAGAATCAATAAAACTAGAATTTGTATACAAGATAAAGAGAATTTCCTATAGACTCATGAGGAGAACAACAGGAAAATTTACAAATAGAATTATAAAAGAAAAGATATAAATTGCAATGTACCCCTCAGAAATTCAACATATTATGAGAAGTTACTATGAACAATTTTATGCTCTTAAAATGGAAAACCTAGGAAATATAGAGATTCTTAGAATCCTGTAATCTAACCAAACTAAATAAAGAGGTTGTAGGAAACATGATCATGCCAATCACAATTTAGTAAATTGAAAACACTAATAGATTCCTCAACACCTAAAGTCCTATATCAGGTGGGGTTACTGGAGAATTCTATCAAACCTGTAAAGAATACTTATTGCCTTTACTCCTTACACTCTTCCAAAATATTGAATAACCAGGAGTCCTTCCTAAGAGATTCTGCGAATCTTACATTACACTAATAAATAAAATAGATATGCTTCTAAAAGAACAGAACTTCATACTAATCGCCTTGATACACGTCAATGCAAAAATCCTCAACAAAATCTTATCAAACTGAATCCAAGAGCATATTTTTTAAAAATAATAATGTACACCACATTCAAGTGAGGTTCTTCCCAGAAATGCAAATATGTTCAATGTATGCAAATCAATTAATATAATACCCCATATTAATAAAAGCAAATATTAAAATCCAATAATCATATCAAAAGTTCGAGAGAAAAGCTCTGACAATCAACATTCGTGATAAAAAACCATCAACAAAATGGAGGTGGAAAAAACCTTTACTCAGTAGAACAATGGCCGAATTAAAAAAAAAAAAAACACAGTCAGTATATGTCTCAATGCTGAAATATTAAAAGTGTTCCTTCTGAGATTAGGTATAAGCAAGGGTGTTTATTGTCTTCACTTTTATTCAATATATTATTAGAAGTCTTAGCTTGAGAAATCAGTCAAGGGAAAGAAATGAAAGTAATCCAAACTGAAAAGATGTCAAATTATGATTATTTTCAGATAACATGTTAACAGACATAGAAGAACTTAAAGATTCAACAGAAAGCTCCTAGAAACAATATGCCAATACAGTAAATTGGCCAGCTACAACATTAATACAGAAAAAATTGGTTGCATTCCTGTACATAAATAATGAATAGAGGAGAAATTAATAGAACAATCTAAACCATTCACATTGGTTTAGGTTTTAATAAAAGATTTTAAAACATTTCTTTAGAATTAATTTCATTCACTACTCCCTTTGTTGGACCTAATGAGCATATTTTCAAGAACAATATACTACACGGTTTATCTGTTGTACCACGGTAACGGTCCTCCCGTTGTTCATCGATTTGCTCTAGTGGGCCCAGTAACGCCTCCTTCGTGAGACTTGTTATTACTGTGTTTGGCATATCAGTACATCACGGGTAGCTTGCCAGGCTCTGCCGCGCGGGCGAGATACTCTCGGTAGCTTGCCGGGCTCTTCCAGAGGGGCGGAGGAATCAAACTCGGGTCGGCCATATTGGCTGCGTGCAAGGCAAACGCCCTACCCACTGTGCTATCGTTCCAGCCCATCTGTGATATAGGGAGTCCTAATTTATTTACTTAACCATCAATACTTAAATATAAGGAAACAAAGCATGCTTTTGATTCCATGACCACATTTCTTACACAGAAAATTCAATAAGATTCTATACTGCAATAGTTTCATTCTGGCTAATTTTCAATATATTTATTATGACTACATAGAGAGAATCCAAATTATTATCTACAAATATCTGCCCTCCCATCAAGTCTTTTGTGGTGCTAGGGATTTAACCCCGCTCTTATAAAGGAATACAACATAATTACTACTGAACTACACCCCATTTTCCTGCATTTTTATTAGCGTTTTTCCCAAGGA